TAGTGAGCTACAATGGCTATTTATAGTGCTTGTGGATCCTATCTTTAGGAGTTTAAAACATAGCAAAATTTTATCCTATTTTTAGGAATTGAATCCTAGCGGAATTCTATCTATTTTTAAGAGTTTGAATCCTAATAGGATGAAAAATGTGTGTTGACACTCGTTTATTTTCCAACATGGCTGGATAGGAATAGTTAGGTTTTCAATGAGGAATCATCGGACATGAGCATTGTTGATCAGAGCTTGCGTCTATACCGACTCTGCTGTGCTGCAAAACAGGATGTGGAGCAGACAAAGGAAGTGATGGCGTTAGCTATTTGTAACACTCACGTCCCGGTTAAATAGAGTCGACCTGCTTCAGGATGGATTAAATTAACTCGGATGGGAGTCGGAGTTAAGGAGATAGGACTGCCAAGTGTGGTGGGGTCTTACAGGATTGCATTGGAAGCTGGATAGTCGGATATAATAAATTTATTGGTATTTGTACGGTAATTAAAGCGGAGCTTTGGGGAGTTTTTGTCGGCTTGACTATCGCTTGGGAAAGGTTGAAGCTGAAGTGGATAGCCTCCAAGCTTTCCACCTTCTCCAAATGGATCAGATTGGTCATGGTCCTCTGTCCATTTTTGTTAGGATTTATGAAGTTCGATCAATAAAGAGTGAATTGGATTTATGAAAAATTATAGAGTAAGAGGAGAAATTATAACAATTTATACAATGATTTATAGTGGTTCAACTTTCTCAATGTAATCTACATCTACTACCTAAGCTACTCACTTATGATTTTCCTACAAATTCACTATTTATTCTTTTTTTTTCAAGGATCAAGAATAATCTTTATAACTCCCTAGTTGTTCACTTGGATAAATTAGAACAAAAAATCCTTTTACAAAGTAAAATGATTGTAAACAAGAAAACCTCTAAAACGGGAGATGTTTACAAATTAAAGCTCACAAAAATATAAATATTTACAAGAGAAAGAGAAATAAAGAATGAAATTTTTTTCTCTTGTGTTTGATTGTTTTGATAGGTTTTGGTAACATTTTTCAAGTGTCTTGAACTTGTTTTTATATGTTGGAATGAGTTACTAGCCGTTTCTAGCTGTTTGGGAAGGTTTGGAGTTGTTAGAAGATTTTTTACACATAAAGTTTCAAAACTTTGAGAAAAGTTTTGAAACTCTTCTAAAGAGTGGTTGGAAAAATTTGACCGTTGGAGCCAAAGTATCGAAACTTTAAGGAAAGTTTCGAAACTCTTAAGATAGTTTCAAAACTCTTGAAAAGTATCGAAACTTTTTGGGAAATTATCTTGGAAAGTTTCGAAACTCTTGTAGATGTTTCAAAACTTCTGGTTAAAATACTCATTTTAAGATTTTGATTAGACTTTGAATTATTTTGATAAAAACTTTAAATAAATTCAATTTAGTCTAAAAATATTTTACATTTATTTATTATATCAGAATATTAGTTCTACACATTTTAACTCATTTTCATATTCTTATTCATCAGAGCTGGAATGTTCGCTTTCATCACATATCAAGGAAAGATAATTGTGTAGCTGATCATTTACCTAGTCTAGCATCGAATGATGATTTTGGGATTCATTATATTGTAAGTCCTCCATCTGACATAGTGAACTTCTTGCTGGTGGATGAGGATGGTTTGATTTCTTGATCTTATGTTTTCTTTTATCTTTAAGAGTTTGGGTTGTATTCTTTTTTTTCATTTAGGTTAGGGAGGTTTTAATGAGGAACTCACAATTCTTCTTGTGTATGATATTCCTTTAATCATACTACTATATCAAAAAGAAAAAATAATATAATATATTTAGTAAATTAAGATAAAATATATACTTTGAAAAGTTAAAATAATAGAAAAATATTTTAAAAAAGTTTAAATAAGAATAAAATATATATCTTTTAATTAAAATAAAAAAATATTTTTAAATTAAGTTAATAATAAATTATATTTAATAAGTTAATATAAAAATATTTTTTAAAGTTAAAATATTATGAATTTAATTTAATTATTTATACATTAAGATACAAACTATATACATCGTATTGTTTTATTTAGACCAATCATTGGTTTTGACTCGATGGTTGGGTACATATTTGATTTCTCAAGCAACTCATATCGGAATCCCTTTGACCCCAATTTGGTGACACATTTTATCATCTGATTTGTGAAAAATAAATATATTAAACTAAAATAAATAATAAAGTTAGTCTTCCAACTGATTGGTGACATATGTCATAATATGGGTACTAGTGACACGTTACATCATTCGATTGGAAGATTAAATTTATTTTAATTTTTTAAAAGCATGACTAAATTAAGAGAATATGTAAATAACATAGATTAAATGTATGACTATACCAAAATATTTAACGGTAATTAACTCGTGGTGATCACATCTTAATTAATTAAAAAAAAGTGATTATATATATTATATTTTTTGAAATCAGTAAAAAATGAAAAAATTGACAAAAACACAAATAAAAGTAATGAATGGTGTAGTTAACCCTTCATTTTAACCGTTTGGTACATGTTAATATTTGTACTATTCTTTTTTTTGAGTTTCTAAAAGAAATTTCAGATATTTTAAATGAATTTTATTATTATATTTGAACACTCTAATTTTTTTAGACTGTTTAATTTTATTTTTGTATTACATATGACATCATATCATTGGGTTATACCAAAAAAGTTTAATAAAAATGATTGGATAACGTGATAACAAAATTGACAGAAAAAAAAATACAAATATACCAAAAAGAGTTGCAACTATTTCAGTGTGTTTGAAGAATTATCCTGCAAACCATTAAATAAAGAAGCCAAAGATTTTATGGACTTTCACTTCCTGCTCCTTTGCTTCTATTCAACCTTTTCCTTGGGTAGGTTAAGAGCTTTCAGATTGATTTATCCAAGTTCCAACGCCCCCTTCTTTTAATACCATTTCCCCCACCGTCATTGATGCTCTAAACTAAGCTTTTAATTATTTAAACCATTCTCATTGTGCCTTTATATACCCCACACACACTCTTTATTCCTTCATCAAACAACTCTCCACAAAGCCTTACTCTCCAAGAAGGAAAAAAAAAACTTTCAGACCCTTTTCGAATTCTCACATGGAATTAACCCTTTCCGCGGTTCTTCTTCTTCTTCTTTAGCTTGGCTTCTTTATCTTAGCTTCCTCATCATCAAGCTGGAGAAGCGATGATGAGGTGATGGGGTTGTACAAATCATGGCTCATTGAACATGCCAAAGCATACAACGGTATTGAAGAGAGAAGAGGTTCCAAATCTTTAAGGATAACTTGAGATTCATTGATGAACGTAACTACAACTCTAAGAACACTACATTTAAGCTTGGGTAGAACAAGTTTGCTGATTTAACTAACCAAGAGTACCGAGCTAAGTTCTTGGGCACCAGGACCGACCCAATGCGTCGAGTCATGAAGTCCAAGAATCCCAGCTGGCGTTATGCTTACCGTGCCGGCGAGAACTTGCCGGATTCGGTGGACTGAAGAGCGCACGGAGCTGTTAGCCCGGTGAAAGATCAAGGAAATTGTGGTAAGTAAATTTGTTTTAATTTCTAACTTCAAAAAGAAAATAATTACATACACGTTCCTTTTTTTAATGATTTTTTAATGACCGAAATGGACTAATCTGAGATAAGAATAGAATATTAGATTACTTGAGGCTTAAAGCTTTATGGTATTCGCCATTATTTTTTTAGTTTCACATAATATACCAGTCAATTACAATTGCATGAAGTTGCTGGGCATTCTCAACAACTGCAGCAGTGGAAGGCATAAACAAAATCGTGACCGGCGAACTGATATCTTTATCGGAACAAGAACTCGTGGATTGTGATTGATCTTACGACTCCGCTTGCAATGGTGGCCTAATGGACTATGCCTTCCAATTCATTCATCATCGATAATGGAGGCATCGACACTGAAAAATACTATCCTTACCTTGGCTTTGATAGCCAATGTGATCCAGCAAAAGTCAGTTTTCAATGCTTACATCCTAACTCAACTCCAATCTCGCAGTTTCAGTTTACGGATGCTGATGCTTTCTTTTACTTTTAACAGAAGAATGCTAAGGTTGTTAGCATTGATGGGTACGAGGATGTTATTCCGAACGATGAGAACGCTTTGAAAAAGGTGGTTGCCCATCGGCCTGTGAGTGTCACCATTGAAGCTGGTGGCAGAGCTTTCCAACTCTATGAATCGGTAAGATCACCTGAGCGTCTCGTGCAAAATTGTCGCTTCACAATTCTTTACAAGAATTGGCTTGTTTTACAATTTGTCATTGGTTGAACATATTTTTCAGGGAGTTTTCAATGGTTATTGCGGGTCTGCTTTAGACCACGGCGTCTTCATTGTCGGATATGGCTCCGACAATAACGGTCAAGATTATTGGATTGTGAGGAACTCATGGGGCAGCACGTGGGGTGAAAATGGATATATAAAGATGGAGCATAATGTTAATGCTAATACCGGCAAGTGCGGCATTGCAATGTAGGCTTCCTATCCAGTTAAGAACGAGGCAAATATAATCAAAACTTACGATATTGAAAGCACCGAGAAGATCAGTAGTGCTTGAATTCTTTGCTGCAATTGAAGACCACAAAAACCGAGCAAGTAATGATATGCTCGGACTTTATCATTGCTGTACATATATATATATATATTTATGTATCAAACACAATAGATGGAAAACTGGTATTGTTGTGACATGGTTCATACAATTTCAATTCAAAAGACCCTTTATCATTATTTGCCGAGTAATCTCTAGCAAATTGGATTAACATATACACAAATTCAACTTCAAAACTAAATATGGTGTATACCAACTGGACTTGCTTGATTGGTGCCATCTTCTGCTAAATACATTTGAGAAAGTACTGAACAGGCGACACAGAACGTCGTATTTCCGTTTCATTACAAAGCATTCTTTGGCAATACTTTTGGTTTCTCTAAGCAGAAGTTTCTGTAAAGCTAATTCAGTAAAAAGCTGGAGGAAATGAACAAATATGCGACGTACAATTGATGATGTTTTTTATAACACCTGTTGAATTTAATGCATAGGAAGGTTGGTGCTTTCTTTTAAAGACGCCTTCTTGCCATCATATCGCTATCAAAAGAGACAGAGAATAACTTGTATTTAGCATCATCGAGCACACAATCAAATAACACCGATGAAAAATACGACTCCGAGTATCTCGGAAAATGGATAGGATAGGAGGGGAATACCTGTTTCCCGAAGGAGAAAGGAACGTATTTGTATTTGATCATGTGTAAAATCTGTCTCTTCATGGATAGGATGAATAAGGTAAACCAGTAGAAAAGGAGTATTGGCCAAAACACAGGCACATCAAACACAGTGAAGAATGTCATCACAAAAGCAATGCTAAAAGCCATCATAATAGAGTACCTTCACAAAGAAAAGGGTGCATGTAAGCATTCAGCACCACATTTTATAGAATTATATGATCTCTTCATTGATATGATAATGATTAAAAGAACTTCAACATTAATCCTTTTATTGCAACATTCTCATGATTTTCCTTTCGATTCAATTAAATGTAATTTAGTGTGAGTTGAAGACAATATGAAACGGCAGCAGTTGGAAATGAGGAACCAGAATTTGAACTCTGGGAGTCGGCGAACGAAAGGGCGAAACTCATCGGATCCACGGGTGGGGAGGGAAGGGCCGTCCTGCAACTCGGGGTCCACCTGAGGGGAAAGGAATCCCATCAGCAGATTCAGCAAGTAGATGCCGAGGCCGTAGGTGATGATGTAGAAGCCCTGCACCAAGTACACGCGTACGGCGTAGAGCATCATCAAAGCCAGGCATCCGATCCAGCGGCTCACAATGTGTGGGACCGTCTTGTACAGGATGTGCCGGTACCGCCGCGAAATCTCGAAGGTCCACCGCGATAAGGTGGATGCATCGTTACCACCCAGGGCACCACCATTTGGTCTGGTCTCCATCGGAGGGCCCCACAGACCAAACAAAGGACTATTTTCTTTTCTAACATTGTCTTCGTCCTATATAATTAACTCTACAAAGCCTTTCCAAGCCTCTGATTTTCGTCCCCCACATGGCTTTTTTGTTGGGTCAACGTCGTCCGCTGGTTGTGGTGAACAGGACCCTCCCCCTTCTCTTTTCCCCCTACTAAATTAAGATAAGATAGTAAAAATATTTAGGTAAATTATGCATTTAGTACCTAAAGTATCAATTTTAGTCCGTTTTAGCACTTAAACTTTTATTTTTTTCAAAATCATACCTAAAGATTAGTTGTTGTTTCATTTTAGTACCTTGTTCAAAATTTAACATTATTTTTTTAAATTAAAATTTTAGGTATTAAAACGTATCAAAACTGATAGTTCAGGTACTAGACGCGTTAAGTTTTTAACTATGGGATGCTAAACTGAAATAAAAACTAAACATCAGGTATGATTTTGAAAATATTGAAAGTTTAGGTACTAAAACGGATCAAAACTGATAGTTTAGATACCAAATGTGTAGTTTACCTAAAATATTTTTTATATATAGGGATAATGTCGCATTTGGTACATGTCTTTACAAAATATTTGATTTGATATCTGCATTTTAAAAATATCTAATTTATATTTGGTCTTTGATAAATTATCTAATATGGTATTTTTATTTTAGTTAAATACTTAATGTACTTTTTTTATTTTTGAAATGTTTAATATAATATTTATATTTTATTAAAATGTCTACTATAATACATGAACTATCATCCTTATGTTATTATTGTATTAAAATGTCTACTATAATACATGAACTATTATTCTTCTATTATTATAATACTTGAATTATCATTTTATGTATTGTTGTATTACTTTTTTTTAGAAAGACGTTAGTTTTATTTAAAATAGAAAATATCTAAAATTACAATAAAGATTTAGGAGTATAACTGTAAACGTAAACTAAATTATAATTAGGACATTTTACTATAACCATTAACACAAAAACTAGCCACTTAGATCACACAATGACCATGAAAGGAAAATGTTAAAAACCTAACCAATGCTCGAATAAAATAAAGATACAAACAAATCTGACTGCATCGTTAAACGAACCATAAAAGATGATGAAACTACTGAAAGACCACCGATAAATCACAAATCATAGTCAAACGAAGTGAGAAAGCTATTCACGAGCGCAAAAAGCGTATTCAAATAAATCTGAGGGTCTAAAGCAGGGAAGATCGACAGGATAACAAATAAGCGACATCTTGATCAGCCGTTGCGATATCAAATCCAACCCTGTGAAAAAATATAAACAAAAAAAATGAAAAAATCATAAGCTACCAAAAGAAAGAAAAAAACGTGCCACAAAAGTAGAGATAAACGCACCATAAAGGTAGAGAATATGTCACAAAGACATAATTATTCTTATTAAAAAACTAAAAAAAAAGATTATCGACGAGCGATAACCAACATTAAAACTAGTGTCGCCGTCGATTAAACAAAATTAAAGAAGAAAAAGTTTGATTGATCAATAAAATTGACACAAGTTGTAAAGAAGAAAAAAATGGAGAAAAGGGAGGAGGAATAAAACGGCTTGTATTATTCTATTACTTAAATTAACATCATTAATAAATACAAAATAAGTCAATAAAAGTTTATAACTATTGTAATATATACATAATAACAATTTAAGTATCATATTTGATAATTTATTAAAGGATAAACTACACAATTGATCACTTTTGTATATTTTTTCTCACTGAATTCAAACAATATAATATTTGACCACTTTCGTTTTTATTTAATTAAGATGTGGTCACTAAAAGTTAATTGTTAGACCTTCAATGAATTACTAATGTGACACAATTTATAAAATTAAAAATGATAAACTACACAAATGGTTTGTAACACCCATTTCTCGTATCCTCGTACACACATGACTTTTAAAACATTTTCGTACTTGAAAACCAGTAAAATTTTGTTTCTTTAAATAAGCGGTTTAATAATATAATTTATAAAACGTTCTTCAACTACATATATATATATAATAACGTTTAAAATCCATCAAACAGTAGTTTAATTTCAAACATTATAAAATACTATAACTAAATACATACCAAGTATCTTATCAGAGCATCACAACATATCTAAATACGTGCCAACTAGTAATATTAAAATAAACATCTAGAGATGTCATACTGTTACTGATGAGGCAACACTTGACAAATGATATCAGCTGCACTCCTCACTCCGATTTGTACACTAAACCTACGCGTGAAAATCATCACACGCTAGTATTCACTTAATGAGACATACTAAAACAAATAAGGCATTTTAAAAACATGAGTAAAGCATTATAAGATCAAAATACGATTTATCGTATAAAATACATAAATGCATGAAAATTGACTTGATAAGCCAATTTTCTGTCAAATAACATGCGAAACAATATTTAGTAAGCCTAGCATACCTATCAATCGATATATTCAAAAGTATTCATTCATAGCCCAATGTATGTCAAATGAGAATGCAAGGTACATGAGTTACACATAGTGCTAAACGAAAGTATAGGTACTTTAGTAACAACGACACTATACTAATATATCGAAATTATAATTCACAAACTCATTATGAATACCATGCATGAATATATAGTGCCGAAAGTACAAAAAGGTACTGATATGAAAATGCAACATATGCATTAAACAAAATCGATCGATAACCATCATACTCCAAGTATGAAAAAATGCACCTATGACTCTCAATGCACATACAATAGGCCTTTAAATCAAATTCACAGATTAAACATTTATTCTAGAACATCGATTGCTGTTAAAATAATATAAAAGCTCATCCATCTATTTTAAGGTAGTTCATACCCTAAAATCACCATAAACTATTTTCATAAACCTTGTGAAAATATTTCAAAATACGGTAAAACATGCTTTTATAAAGACATTCAAGGTTGTCTCATTGCTAGTCGTCCTCATATCATATAAGTACATGATAAATGTACTCACCTGGTATGCCTCACTACTATGCCTTACTATCGAAATATGATTATTCTTGAACTTTTTCCTTGTCTTTCGCTTTGCTCGTATCACAAGTTCGATCACGATCTACATGAGCATCCATACAAAGCATACAAAAATATAAAATACATGTTAGTATTCTTACTAACATTTCATACTTAATAATAGTACTCCAAAAGTACTATTATTTTCGAATTCTTCTAAAATTCATCTTAACTTTTCCTTTTTATTCATATTGGGCTCTTGTTATTATTTCTTCAATTCAGGCCCAAACAAGCCCAATAATTTCCAGCATTAAACTTTCATTCCAAATACCTCAACAATGCCATATTTATCATTTAATCCACTAACTTTTTTAATGTTTACCATTTAACACTCAAACTTTGTTAGCTTTCCAAAATTGCTAAATTTCACTTTCTAATTTCAATTTCTCCCCCATATAGTAATTTCTAGCATAGTCTACAATTATGGAACAATTATACAAAACCTACAACTTTTTCATTATTACCAATTTGGTCCCCCCAACTTTCACAAAATTACATATTGGCCCAAAAAAATTTATAAGGCTTGTATAACCTTTCTAATATCATTTCTAAGCCACATGAAATTTTTCAAAATTTTTCCCCATCATCTTCTTCAAGGCCGAATGGTTTATGTACCCAAGATTAGGGTTTTCATGATTTTACTCGATTTTGATTTGATTCAAGCATGGAATCAACCTCGATTTCAAGAGCCCAATATGAATAAAAAGGAAAGTGTAATTGATTTTAATCATACATCAGTTTTACAACCTCAAAAGGGACAACCATTATATAGGGAAAAGGGACAACCATTATATATGCATGTATAATTGATTTTAATCATAAATCATGCTTGGAATTGATTTTACGACCTCAAAAACATCAAAATTCTTCATCAATCCCATAAACCCTAATGTAAACACAAATCCTAAAATTTGGGATCTTTGAACATAAACCAAATTAGCAAGCAATAAAGGTACCAAATGATAGTTTTTTTCTAATAGAATAATTTTCTATTTCATGACATGATCCAAAATCCAAAGGGAATTACTCAAAAAAGAGAAATAAATTTTCTCTTATCTTGCTAGGGGGTGCACGTCCAAGGGGCTGAAAAGTGCCCTACGTTTCATGAAATTTCTAATGAATTTTATGTTAATTTACCTTATATTAAACTTAAATGAATTAAAAATTCATTTAATGTGAAATGTCCATTTTATCATTAATGAAACTCAATATTTATAATAATACCAAACCACATAACCTTATCATATTTCCAAAGTCAAAGATGAACAAAATATTTTATCCTTATTCAATTTTACAAGCAACTTTCCAAAAATTGCAATCTTGTCACTTTGATCCAACGGTTCAAATTAAACATGGAAATAAATCTTCAAATTCAATGATCCATATTATTTTCCATCATTTTAACATTTGAAAATAATATTTTTAATCCTAATTTATCATCCTTCAAATTTTCCCGAAATTTCTATTTGATCCGATTTACCGATTTCTTACCGGACTTTAATCATTTCTAGTTTTCAACATAAATTTCGGATTAAGAATATGATTTCAATAAAACCACACTCTCAAAATTAAATTATCTATTTATGGAATAAAAATTATTTTTGAGAAACTTACCACTTAGGTCCCTAAATTTTTCCTAATTTTATACTTTGCCACTAAAACTTTCAAAACTTATATTTTGGTCACTAACCAAAATTTGGGGTATTACATGGTTACTAATGTTTGAGTAAGTTTTTATTTCCCCACTAAAGTTACGAAAGTAACAAATTGGTCACTAAAACATCAAATAGGTCATTGAACAATAATTTTATATCTAATTTACCCCATAAGTTTTCTAATTTTTCTAATATTCCCCCCATATATATATATATATATATAAAATAAAACTTAGAAATTAATTTTTTATACATGAAGCAATCGAATTGAAACACC